GTTTCGGTAAGTTCATCCCAGAAAGGGTCCTTTTTTAACCGCTTTGGAGGATGGTTCGTTATTTCCATAAGTGTTTCTGATTCGGACGCATTTTGAGACATCGAACTTGAAACGGTAGGTTCAATTGGGTTAATAAATTGTTCAAATGTGTTTTCTTCATCCATCAAATAGAAAAATTCAAGAAAAAAAAAAAAAAAAAAAAAGGTCGATATTTATATTAAAAAAAAAAAAAAAAAAAAAAAAATTAAAAAGACAAATTGTCGTCATATCGTAATATCACGTCACTGTAAATTAACTTTTAATTAAAAAAAAAAGTCAAAAGTTTATTTCTGTTCGTCATAACGATGTAATTAATTAAAAGTTCGTCATAATGATGTAATTAATTAAAAGCCTAAAGTTAATTACAAATCAAGCATTTTGCTTATCTAATCGATTTCAAACTCGTTTCGAGCATGAGGAGTTTGAATTATGATAATAAAAATTATGTGACCGCAAAAACTCGAGTTCCATTGTGTTTGGGCCCAAACAGAGGTCGAACCGAGTTTGGGCAAGCAGGATAACATCCCTAGTTACAACCCCAAAAACAAACAGAGTTTACCGTAAGTTGGGTACAAAAGTCTAGGTAATTATTCAAATTCGTCGACAGTAGGATTTGAACTCTAGACCTCTTGCATGGTGGTCTGGCAACCTAACCACTACACTAAGATCACCAGACCTATATAGGTTAAATATCTAAAAGTTTGAATTTAAGGTATTTGATATAGATTTTACTAAAGCTTGTTCCTGTTTATCTGATAACTCAGAAACTATTATTTTGACAATATCTCAAAATAAATTATGCTTAACTAGTATTTGATTAAATAAGAATGATAAGAGATAGGAACTTCGAACAATTACAAAATAGAATATCAATGAATGTTAAAAAACAAGCAAGATCATAAAATTTCAGGAGAAGTTCATGAAAAAGGACTTATGTTGGTATAATAACATAAATTAGTAAGTCAACCAGTTCATCAGATTACCTCGAATAATTTGAAGTAACCTGAGTTGTGACCTGGTTAATACTAACATAACGGGCGAATAAACCAGAGCATAAATTTTTAGGTGAATACAAAATAACTGATTATAAATATAGATGATAACACATGATAGTAGTGTTTTTATGATTGGATGACGATTAAATTTGTGTAATGAAGCCTTATAGGATCATTTTCAAGGCACAATCTCTGGTAGTACAAAACTAATCAATAATAAGTTACGGCAAAACATTTATTCGCTATGTCAATCATTTGGGTTCTATTTTTAGATCATCGGAAAATTTTCCCGCCAAATTTAGTAAAAAGATTTAAACCTCAATTACCTGCTTTAAATATTAAGTTAACAGGATATAAAATTTATACTAAATAAACTTCATGACTTATAGATTAATATTTAATAAAAATCTAATTTTTGGTCTGGGAACCTCGGAACCTCATTTTCAAGGCACAGACCCCATATTGCATATGTTCCATTCTTGATATCCATATATAAATAAACTACTAAATGCATCAAAAAAACTAACCCTAACGAACCTGGCTTTAACGATCCTCCAAATTTGGGGGGTCCTTAAAACGGGGTAGATTACGTGAAAATCATTATTTTATTAACATTAGGGTTAGGGTCCTTTTGCGTTAGGGTTAGAGTCGTTAATATAGGTAAAATTTCCCTCCCGACATTTTTTTATTAATGCACCAAAGTAGTTTCCAACAGCCGTTTCTTGTATTTTTCGCGTTTTTCTCTTTTTTTCGATCCGGGTTCATCAAATTTTATTGGTTGATTATCGCAAAATCACCCCGCTTTAAGGAAGGAAATAAATTATTAGTAACTAACAAATTGATTGGTCTAATTTTCTACAATTCGATTACATTCATTAAGATAGTCAAATCAAATCAAATACTATTGTCCAATCACTGAAAGTTAAATTTTCAAAGTAATTAAAAATGAAAGAAGCCCCGTCCGAAGAAAACACGAAGCAATATGATAATAAAACAGAGAATTATGATGAAATAATATTAGAAAAAAATAAAATTAAGGAAAAAGATATGAATAAAGTTTTAGTTGATAAGTCTGATCCAATTAATATGGTGCCAAACGAAATATCTTCAAAGCAAACTCAAACTTCGTCAAAATGCAGTGTAAGGGAAGAAGAAAACTTGGAATTGATTCATCGAGATACCGAAAAGGTAATTAGTTAGCTCTTATATCCTCAATACCAATACATTTATAGATGTTTTTGAACAGTCACAAGGAATTATTACGATAAACGAAGGAAACAAAAAGGAATATTTGGATCCAGAACTCGTAAAACTTGAAAAGATTCCCAAGGTAGAAAGAAAAAGAAAAATTAAAGTAGAGATTTGAAAACATTAGTCCAACAAGACTTAACCTACTGCTGAAAATTTTAGTTTGAACCATTGATAAAACCTCACACTGATTCAGGTTTTATACTTGGAGGACTGTGGGGTTCAACGTCACAAATACACGAAAAAGAACGTATGTCCTTTATTCTATATATGCTACATTTTTATTATATTTTATTATTTTGAAATCATTTATTTTATATAAACTTTACAGCATCTTTTGGATATGAGTCATTATACAATTTTTCCCTGATTTACCAATCGTACATTAAAAGATGTGCTGATGAAATTTGTGAAGATCAGGTTCTACACTTTTAATCTAAACTCTTAACATTCTATTATACAAATATTATTAAGTTCAAAATTAACCGAGTGAACATTCACATGTTTATATTATTCAATGATATTTACACAATAATTTTAGCGATTAGTAATGGATACAGTGAAATCAGTTGACGAATATTGTGCACAAATCAATCAATCAATAACAGAAACACAATTACAAGTGAAAACAAATCATGAGCAAATTAGTGTTGGTAAGATTATTAAATGCTATTTATTATGCTATTTTTTCTAAAATTTTGTTAATCATATATTCGCTGAATTTTTACAATTAGTTAATGGTCTCATAAAACAAGTGGAAAAAACACATAAACTAGTCTATGAAATATTTCAAACGTTAAACAAATTGGAAAAATTAATACCAGAAGAAGGACTGTTTAGAGATCAGAATTCCAAATGGCCAATAATTCACAAATTGTATTTAACTGCCAAACAAAAGCCAAGTCAAGGTCACACTATAAAAATACCACAACGTACGAACCCTAGTGTTGTTACTGTATCACAATATAATGTATTGTCAGAAAAACATCAAGATTCCGATACGCTCAGTCCAGTTAAAAGTACAGATTGGATGACATCAAATGTTCAAAACATTATTTTAGGAGAAAATACCAATTCAGGTCGTTTCAAGGAGATACTTATTAATCCGATACGTGAAGGATTCAAGCGAATCGTTAATATTTCGAGTATCAATGCTATTTCATCGTCACCAGAGCCATATACGCTATCAAAAAATATAGGAACAGAATCACTTTCCATATCACCTACTTCATTAGGGTTGAATCTGTCTAATACCAGCCAATCACCAACTTCCGGAACTGTGTCGTTACTTACAGATATGCTTAAACGATCTACATCGCAAAAAGAAGAAGATTCGCAAAATAAAATATCATCAAAAGAGAATAAAAAAAAATCGAAAAAATCGGGAATTATTAATAAGCAGACAATATCTGAATCTGGTAGCGAAGGACTTTTAATATCAACTGATAATACACGTTCTATTATCACAAAAAGCCAAGAGGAAGAAAGCTTGAGTGACAGTGAGGATGAGGGTTACGATGCAAAAGAGCGCGTTATTAGACCGATAATGTTTTGAAATGGTACTCAAGGCTTCCAATCTTTCATTTCTGTAATAGTATACATTATGTAATTTTAGTACAATGATAAAGATGACACAAATTATATTATTATTACTGATTTATGGCAATAATGTTTTTTACATAATTAAGGAAAATGCCACATCATTTAATTATTAAGAATAGTCATGTGAACTTCAGTTATTGGTTATTTAACTACATATCAACGAAATTGGTTTACATCAGTGTTTTAAATAGGATTTCAAATTTACTTTGTTAGATAAAACATCCAACTTACCGTAATTACCTAAATACTCTGACATTTTTATATTCCGCATTAAAGGGAAATAAAAGAAACGAATGTTTTTTTTAACTACAACTTTTGCTTGACTTTTCAAATAATTTTTCATTATGTAATGGGTTTTTCTTAGCACACGGCATTCCACTTACTATATAAGGCAACTAGTAAATGCCTGCCGATTTTTACTATGAAATTTATACTCTTTATTGCGGATTAATTTTTTCTTACATTTTTAATATAAGGATTAATATATTTGTAGCCATAGGTTACTGTAACCGTTATATTAAAATTTAAGATCAGGTGTAACGTGAGGGTCGAGATTAGGGTTAGAGCAGGGCATAGTTTATACTAAAATTTTGCAAGAAATTTTTTTGTTTCATAAGCAAAATTTGGAGTTATTAGCGATTTCTTTAAAAAAACTAGTACGTAGTAACTTTGTAAAATAACGGTAAATGGTCAATTTCATTATTAAGATACTGATAAGCATAGTAGTGTTTTATTATTATTGGTGTAAATGAGAAATTTTGTTAAAAAAAATAAATAACGATAAACGTTAATTATTAAAAAGAATTTTATTTTCACGTAGAGCTCAACCTTACATTTTTATTTTCATATATTTTCGTATATTTCGCTATTCTTGTCCTCATCTGTCTTTTATCTTTTCTTTTCGTAAACTAGCGTCTAGATTAATATTACTTACACTTTTTTTTTTTTATATATCACCCTAATCTGAATCGAAAAGTATAACTATACTTGCTGACAAAATGGCAAAACCCGGACAAATCCATAAAAAATTGAACCAAAAAAATAGTCTTGAAATTTTGCTAATACAGTATATTATATATAACTATAAGAATATATGATATTTGTTTGAATAAGGATTGTTAATAAAATTTTTGAGATATGAATTTGGCCAGAGTTTGGGATTTGGGCGCAGACAAACTAATTTTATAATAGTTTGGATTTTGCCAACAAGTATAAGTATGACATCATCCTTCAATATTAGAGGAAATGGTACCCACGTTGAAGAAGTTGGTGTGGGTCTTTCTGAACACCCATGAGATAAATCTTACGTTCCCTCTTCCCAAGTAATTGAGGAAGAGAAAGATAAATCTAATCAAAAACGTAAAAAATCAAAGTCTCGTGGTCTCCGTCATATATTGAAAAGAGAAGAAAAAGATAATGTTGTGGAAAAGTCGCAACGACAGAATGATGAGAAAAAAAGTGAAAGTTTGGCTCGTACTCTATCGGGAATATTTAGTAATAAATCGAAATCGGAAAAAGAAAAACGAAAAGATGTTATGGATGATGATAATAATAATAATAATAATAATAATAATAATAATAATAATAATAATAATAATAATAATCATAATACTAACAAAAGCATTCTAATGATGCTAATAAAATTAAGTCAAAAAATCGACTTAGTACTGTTTTCTTTTCTGATAATGAAGATGAAACTACTGACCATGTGAGAAAAAATAAAAGATCAAATAATAATGATACTCTATTTTCTGATAATGAAAATGGTTCAAATAAAAAGAATTCTAAAAAAAATAGGATTAGTTTGAACATTGATAAGTTATTAGAGTTCGATGATGATTATAAACATAAGACTTTTAATAATAATAATATGACTGATATGTTCCTTCCGGAAACTAATGGAACTCCTATTAAAACTTATAAAGGACGTCTTGACTCCTCTGGTTCTGTCAGTGGACGTGATTCTCCTGTTTCGATTTTAAAACGAACTACTGCTATACCTAATCAAACTGAATCCCCAATTTTACTTTCTGCTACATTTGTACCTTTTGCTCCCATAATAAACGAATCGTCTCATGAACATTCTCAAGAAATTAAGGTTGAATCTGTTGAACATATTGAACAGAAAGATGAAATTAAAGTTGACCCTGTTGATCAAAAAATTGATCAGAAAGAAGTTATTGACCCTGCTGAACAGAAAGAAAAAATTAATATTGACCCTGTTGAACAAAAAGATGAAATTAATATTGAACTTATAGAACAGAAAGATGGTCATAAAGTTGAGTCTATCGAACATGAAGATGAACATAGATGAGTCAATTGAACATAAAGATGAATCTGTTGAACAGAAAGATGAACCTAAGATTGAGTTTTTAGAACAGAAAGATGAAAAAAAGATGAAACTAGGATTGAGTCTGTTGAACAGAAAAATGAATCTAAGATTGAGTCTTTTGAGCAAAATGACGAACCTGTCGAACAAAAAGATGAATTTAAGGATAACCTTAATTATTCTTCTACTCCTGCTACGTCTATCAACGAGGATATATCAGTCAATGAAAATGTATTAAAACTTTCCTCTCAAGTTTCTTATGATAACCTCAATGCTGATACAGGATCCTATCAGCAAGTTAATGCCGAAATTTACAATAATGCTGATACTGAAGTTAATGATATAATTAATTCAGAAACTACCAATTATGATGACTTGTTCAAGGTGCAAGCTCTATAAAAACCAGTGCTCTGTCAAATTTCCATGAACACGAGCATTTGTCCTCAACTTCTCCACCTGAATCATCTGTGATATCTGAATTCTTAATTTCTGATGTCAATACTGATAGTGAAATTATGAACTCTTTAAATCATGATATTGAACATAGTCATGATAAACTTGAAGAAGATAATATTGAACATTATAATATTGAGAATAAAAATTTTGAATCTCCTCAAATTATTATTGAAAAACAAGTTATTATTACTAAAGAGAATATTCTAAAGGTAACTTTATAACTTCATAATTTAATAATTAAATATGCATATATTTACTTTGATATTTATTTTTATTACAGCTCGAAGAACATCATTATATTGAGAATAAAATTTTTGAATCTCCTCAAATTATATCTCCAACTCCACAATTTATTGAAAAACAAGTTATTATTACTCGAGATAAAAGGTAACTTTATAATTTAATCATAGTAATAATATTTATAAAAAAATTTGAAATAATTTAAAATTCACCACTGGTGAAATTCACCAGTATATATTTCTGTTTAATTATTTCTTAATAAATAAGTTATTTTTTCTTTAACTTTAGGGTTAGGGCAAGATCTATATTAGGGTTAGAGTGTTTATTATATGTAAAATTATATGCTGAAAACTTTTACTTAGTGACATAATACAAGTTTTCATAATAAAATTTTAAATAATGCAAAAATCGAATTAGAGTCTAAAGGCTCAAGAACAATCCCAACAAATAGTTGAATTAACTTTTTACTTCATTAGAATCTGTTAATGAATCTTTAACAAACGAAAAAAATCAATTAGAGTTCAAAGTCACAACAAATTGCTAAATTAACTTCATTAGAATCTATTAATGAATCTTTGACCAATGTCAAAGATCAATTAGAGTCTAAAGTTCAAGAACAATCACAACAGATTGGCAAATTTACTTCTTTAGAGTCAGTAATGGTTCGTCAATTTGAACATGCTGAACGAATGGAGGAAACCATGAGACGATTAGAAGCAAAAGTTAATTATCAAAAAGAAGAGATATTAATAAAAAATTATATATATATTTAAACTTTTTATCCAGATCGATGTTTAACTTTTTTTTTTTTTTTTAAAAAAAAAAAAACAACTATAAATATAGGTTTAATTGTCATTGTTAACAACCACTGTAAAACTTTTCATTAAGAGACCTACTGCGGGTCAAGAACTAATTCCTAAAGTTCTAAAATGGGCAACGGAGGATGTTGATAATCCTGACTGATCCTGCTACAGCTAAGGTTAACTTCTCGAATTTTTTCTTTAGATTTATTACAAAAAAAAAAAACATTTTCACTTAAGATATATTAAAAAATATATAGACTGTTGTATTATCCGATATTTCTAGTCTTTCATCTATATATCATAAATCACCTCAAACTTTCATTCCTAATAGCAAAATTCGGTATTTAGCACATTAGCACAATCACCAGTTCTAAACCGAGGACAGCAACAACAACAACAACTTAATTTACTTGATAATTTAACATCAGGGTATGTCATTCGTTAACACATTATATTGGGTCGAGTTAAATGTTATTAATTTCACAAATCCCTTGGAATCGAAGCTAATCCTTATAATGTGGATGTTGTTAATATGAGAAAATTATGTTAGAAATTTGCTATTAGATTTGTAATTTTTGTTTTTCCTCATTTTAAATAATTTAATAATTTGTATAATGTATAATCAAAATTTAATACAAAAAGTCATTGAAATTTGATGATAAAATTATATACTATATATTAAATAATATGCAAAGATCTAAATTTCTACATTCATTAATATTAAGTTTTTTTCTATTAAGAGTGTATATAATAAATTAGAATCCTAGTAAGAAAAAAAAATCCTCCGAATATAATTTTTTAAGTGTACATGTGATATTAGTAATATAATAATAATTTTTTTTTTAAATATTACGAATAAAATTCCCTCTTTTAGAGGGTAAAAAAGTCAATGTTTTTAAGATATTAACCCAATCCAATTCCAAGCAAATCTCTCATTTGTCCGGTGATTAAAGGCTGAGAGCAACCTCTTGGCCACCTAACATTAATCCCAAACATGCTCTGCATCTCTGGAATATAATGTTGAAAATAATTAAATTGATTCTTAGATAATTGTCCATGCCTTAAACCACCACCAGGCCAATCTATTTTTGGGTGATCCTTGTGATATATAAAATGTTCTTTCAATACTAAAAATCTATACCCCAATGCATTAAGTGAAAATACATGTTGTTGCTTGTCACCACCTTGATTACGAAATCGTTCATCATAAAATGGTGCATGTTTTGATATTATATAATACGGTTCCCATTGAGATTCATAACAAACTTCATAATAAGGTAAAGAACTATAAAATTGGTGAGCAAGAAAAATGTTGTTTCCGGTTGGTCCGTGACCTGAATTCGGATCAGTTATATAAGCAATACCTTGACGAAATAAACTTCGTAATTCGGGAATAGTATCTGGAAAATTTCCACGGTAACTTTCGATTAATGCAACACATGGAACTACGAAAGCAGTTGGGTGGGATGATTCCTGTAATAAAGGGATCAATGTCGAAGATGCAAAATGGTATAATTGAGAGGTCGGAACAAAATCTGCGTCCATAACAAAAATATAATCCGTTGGCGCCGTTTTGATTCCAATATTTCGAAGTTGATTAATTGGGTATTTTAAATAGTAATCTGTTGAATAATCGGGTTTAACTATAGTTAAAGAAACGCGATTATAAAGGTAAATATTTTTATCCATTTGGAAATAATTAATTAAAGTGTAGATATCAAGTGGATCAGTAAGGTATCTAGAAACGATAACAAGTGTTAAAAGGTGATAATCTTTTATGACACAAAAAACAAAAAAAAAAACTTACATCACAACAGAAACAGGTCCAGGCCAAGCGGCTAATGCTTGTTCAAAGCTTTCTAATCGATTGACGGAAAATTGTGAAACAAGTGTTACATCATGATCGAAAAAATGTAACTTGGATCTATGATGATAAATTAATTCTTGCTTATTATCATCCTTTACTGTTAAAAAGAATGAAAAAAAAAAAAAAAAAAAAAAAATAGTAAATATAAATATAATAAGACCATAAAAACTCAAATTTCTTAAACTTACTGAATTCGCCTATTTGTTTTAGAGCAAGTCTTAAATCCGCTAATATAAAATGATACATGAAACCAAGATTACCTTATGCGCTGAGGAAAAGAAATTGGTTAATTAATAATAAATACTAAACCTGAAATATCCAAGCGCGCCACCAAATTACAAAATTCATGATCCGTGCAATTCGTAAAACCCAAAGGAATCGATAAATGTTTATCTTCCTGAGTGACCAAAACTATATTTATACCTATTGGAACTTGAATAGTTCTTATATTATGGTAAATGTGTTCCTTCTGTAAGTCACTATCCTTCCAGTACTTTGGTTCCCAAAAAGAACACACATTGTAATCATTACAAATTTGAACCTTGTTGATAGAGATATTAACTAAAGATTCTACTCTGAAATTATTTTGTATTTCAGCCAGAGTTGATCTGAAATTTATTAGTGTCAAAAAAAATAAAAAAAGCGAAAAAACAATGCATACGGGAATAAGACGTCGTCTAAAAAGAAGTGAAATAAAATGTCGCAGAATACGATTATCTTTTAATATAATTTTTTGTTTAAACATTAGCAAAAATGAATCGGATTAAAATGAATGAATTTTAGGGTCCATTTTTTAACTATGTGAAGCCACCGGTATTTCCGCAGATCATGTACGACGGTTATCGTTAGATACAATGTGTAAAAATTAGGACTAATTATAATAAAGATTCATCGAAGTAGCGTGCAAACCACTTGAACCTGAGGATTTTGGGAGAAGCAATAATAAAATTTTTTATGGGCTTTCTGAGGTTGACGGTAAGGAAATTATGATTTTTGAGTTAGATATTTGCAAAATATAATATGCAAATATTATATCTTTTTTTTCGAAGTCTAATTATGCTTATACTAAGTGTTTCGATCCGCAATCCGACTAATTCGGATTGAACCGATAATTCGGATGAAATGTGGATATCCTTATCCGTAATATATTTCACACCCTTCTATAACTCCTGAATATAGTGAACCTTAAATTTTGAAAATTTATTATTAGTTCGCTATAATAAAAACAATATACCGATACCGATTTTTTTTTTTTTTTATCAGCTTCACGATTTTGATTGGCCGATCAATGATTTTTCCGGATTGAATTCGAATCAAATCCTAATTTACTCAATTTGAATTATCATGAAAGAGAATCCGGATTTAATCCGAATAATCTTGGAAGAAATAGGATCGAAGCTCTAGTAACTGCATATAATACTGTATATACAGTAACTTAAACCATCTCCAACGATAGCAAGTACGTAGTGTTTTAATTTATGCATATCGAATCATATAAATTCCCGAAATTAGAGATATTAGATATCACATCTCTATCCAAAATGATAACGATAATGCTGTGTTCAAAATCCAGACTTCCTTTGATAAATGATAAAAATGGTGAACCGGCAGTTTAGAACAGGTTTTTTTTTTTTTTTTGATATCAAGTTCCAATCTATGTTAATGGGTCCAGAAAAGAAAAAAAAAACCATTGACTGTTATTTTTTAATATAAAAGACCTGTATAATCATTTCAATTTTTTCCATAAATGTAGGAGGGGGAGTGCTGTTGTCCAAAATTTTTTCAAAAGATATTGATATAGAATTTTATTAAGGTTTTACCAATCAAGTTTTTATTTTTACTACGTAGTACAAATTTGTTTAAACATTAAAGCTGTATTACATGCATTTATTCAGAATTAAAATTAATGATTTTTTGTGCATTAACCTACTTAAATAATTTTTTTAATCATTATTAGAATTAGAATTCTTATAATTATTAATAAACTCCTTTATTAATTCTTTGCAATCATTAAGAATTTTGGTATTATCGTTATTATTATGTTGTCCGGATAAAGAAACCACTGTAAATTGATAATTTGCACGAGGCCTTTTTTTTTTAATAGAATAAAATTCAGTTAGGGAAACAAATATTGTAAAAAAAAAATAAATAAATTATTGAATAAAAAAAAAAAAAAAAATCATTGTAACTTAAACCTTGTCATAAGAAAATTTTGTTCAAATGCATTATAATTATAATTGTGGTAATTTTTATTATCTACTGAGAATTTCTGTTGTTCTTGATCGATTTTATCAAATAATTGAATTGTGAATAAAGAGTAAAGTTGAATTTTTTGAGACTCGGAAAGCAGAGAAATCTGGTGTAACTGTTATATAAACATTATTAATACGTAAACATTTATTAATTTTTAACATAAATAAAATATATAATCATACATTATTCAACATTCGTAACAACATTTCAAGTAAAATAATATCAACATTTAATATTTCTATCATGTCTTTGACCAAAGAAATAAAAAAGTCAATAAATTTTTCAGTAAAAATATCTTTGATCCATGATGGTTGGACTGACGTGAACTTTTTTAAAAATAAAAAAAATAAATTAAAGAATCGATATATATATATATATCATATTAAAATGTGTAAAAATTTTAAATAAAAATAATGTATTTAATACAAACATATTGTGTTATACACACAATCCCACGCAAAAGTTGCATCCTTAATATAAAATGAGAGCAATTTAACTCAGATTTTATATCGTTCGTCAAATTTTTATAATAATATTGAGCATATCGAACGATTGTTCTTAGCATGAATAAGTTCCATTTATTTTCTATCAAGTAATTTCCTTTTTTTTTTTTCGTAAACCGAATGTGTAAATAATTTTTTTCAAATGCCAATATTTATATATTAAAAGTATGAAAGAGTTTTAAAGAATACCTAAATCAGCTTCACTTTGTTTAAACATTATTTCGAAAGCATTTGCGATTGGTAAAAGCATGAACCATGTGAATTGATTATCAATCTTTGAAATATAAAATGTTAAATGATGTTAATTGAGAATTATTTAACAAACTTTAAATAAAGTTAAAATATTAAATAATGAATACTTCTGAAACGATAAAATCTCTAAAAATATTCCAGATATTTATATAAATCAATCTGGTTTTTTGTTTAAATTCTCCTGAAGTTAGAGGACGAAATCCAGTTGAAATTATCGAACAAATATGACCTCAAAAATAATAATAATAATAAATTTTAAATTAATTTTTTATTATTAATAGACTAATTTAAAATTAGTAAATAAAATACTCACCAACAAACAATGAAGGTTCGCGCCTAAGCATAGTCATTATATAATCAAATTCATTTATCGTAGGGAATTCCTATAAAATTAATGTTATGTACATATTTTGTAAACGATGCATATAATCATTATTTAAGAAAGTTATCGTATTAGACTGACCTGCCTATTGCAATCATTAGAGACACTATTACTTTCTTCAACATTTGGAATTGTCAGACTTAACAATCCAATAATTGAGGATTTTACTTCAATATCAGCAACTGTTAATGCTATGGATGAAGCAGTGTTCTCAACATATTTATCATCATCATAATTAATATTTTGATTAGATGATAATGCCCATTGTCTAATAGCTTCGAGAAGCATCGGATGCTGTCGAATTTCTTGTATCACTTTTTAAATTTAAAATTTTTTAAATTAATTAATTAAAAATTTATATATATTTTAGTTATAAAATTGAAAAAAATTAAAGTACCTTACCAACTTCATTTTGAATACAGGAACAAATTGTTAAAAAATGAATTATAAATGTTAATCGAGTAGTTTTTGTAATTATTTCATCTTGACAACTCTTTGTATTAATTTCATTAATATTTTGTAATATTCTAAAATAAATAAAAAAAATAAAAATAAGTAAATATAAAAACAATTTTTTAAGGGTTAAAATTTAATTATCGTGCTTGAAGTTACCCCCTTGCTAACTTTGTAACTTTGTAACTTTTGTAAAACTTTGCAAAAAGTATCCCCTTGCTTGAAGTTGCACTACTTAACGTTAATGCATGCAAGAAGATCTAATTTCAGGGGGTTTAATTCTTTCATTTATGTTGAAACTTTCAAGCACGATTACATGTCAATCATGTCAATTTAAAAAATATTTATAAATTACTTTAACACATGGTCCAGTACTAAGGATAATAAAATTAGATAACAGCATTAAAATTATGCATGCAATTAATCGATTAATCGTGATATACATAACTATACCTCCAGACAAATTTGTCACACCAATCAAAGATTCAATTGGATCAAAATGATAACCCAAGATTAGAACTATAATATTAATAGTTGACCACCCTAATAATTATAGCGTAATTAACATAGAACGAAAAAATTATTATTATTTTTTTTTTTAAAAAAAAAAAAAAAAAAAAAAAAAAAAAAAAAAGACTTACAATCCGTAGGAACGTTTTCAATAATTCCAGGAGTACCAAATAATTTTAAAATCTCTGACCAAAATTTAGCAAAGTTTTGAAACAATAATTTTCTGTCCTCGATAATATACTTTTCAATTTCATTGTTATCAACTTTATTAATCTCATAATTATGATTATATAATATAATGCAAATAAAAATTGAGGAAATAATATGAAATAAACTTATTATGTCATTGCTTTCGTTATTTTGTTTGTTGTTGTTGTTGTTGTGTATTCTTAAGCTTGAGAATATCATCTAATTTGATTTAAAAATATGAATTATAAAAAAGAAAACTTTAAATATTCTAAAATATATATATATATATTTATTTATTTATTTACCAATAAAATTTGAACAGCAAACGAATTTTTAAATAAAAGAAATCCAGATTTTAAAAGTTCAAGAGTTTTTTGATTCTTATTTAAATAGAAATTTCCATTAATCACAAAAGAAATATCTAAAGGTTTAAAATCTTGAAATTTTAAAAATAACCATCTAATCATCTAAAAAAAATAAAATAATTAAAAAAAAAACATTAGAACAATTTATTCACATTTTTTTATTCATATGATATTACTAACCAGATTAGAAACAAATTCTTTTAAACTCCAACTATTTTCACAAACTTTCCAAATCCAAGGTAGAAACACTGAATCATAATTAAAGAAAACATTTTCTATAATTGAAATTTCGGATTTATCGGTAATATCATTAGGTTGAATTACTAAAGTCGATTGAAGACATGATATTATCTTTGAATATGTATGTGGTTTGAATTCTATTATTAAAAATATATATATATAATAATAATAAAAAATCCAATTCCAAAAATTATGAAAGTAAAAAATTGAATAGGTTTTTATTTATATTTACCAGACAAATTATTACATTCAGATTCAGAGGTCTATTAATAAATGAATATAATTAATAATAAAAACATTATTTTTATGAAAGATAAAAATCAAAATATTCTTACAATATATAAATATAAAAAATGGATCATTGAAACTCCATGAAGAAAATCCAACGAAAAATATTTTGTTATAAATCGTGTTAATGTTTTATAAACCAATGGCGCAGATAATTCAGAGGATTTTTTTAACCTAAAATTTTTTTTAAAAAAAGAGATAGTAGAATATGTTTTAAAATAAAATGAAATTACATGACAAAATGTGGCAAAATATGAACTTACATTTGATCCTCGCAAGTGTAACATACGAAAAATATCGCAAGGGCAAGACGATCCAATTGTTGCTTCAAAGCAATAGTTTCTTTAGTTGGATCGCTTGCAAGCATTGTTAAAACGTCTTGTAGGTTTGCTATTAAAAAACATTAATAAATAATATAACATATAGATGTCACATAAAGAGGGTTACACTTACATGGTAAAATTTTGAAAGCGGCGTAGTCAGGAATCAAATTCCCTTGCCTACTAACTATGGTTTGTTCATTTGTTAATTCTTGAAATCCAGCCAAAGTACGTATCAAAGCAATAAGAAATAGATCAGATACGTTTCCGATAGAGTTAGTAAAAGTATTGAATTGAGAAAAAGTAGATTGATGGTGTTTTTGATGTAATGCGATATTAATAAAGCCGCTCACAACTATATTTAATAAAGAAAAAAATTCAGAACATAAATTACATGAATTGACAAATACTAAAAAAAAATAACAGACCCAATTTTTTTGCATAAAGTTTTCTCCAGGAATTATCATTATGTGTGCTTGCTGGTAAAGCTGAAGGCATAGTAAATAATTTTGTCAACATAATTAAAGATTCCAAAATAATAGGATCATTGATTACGACGTATTTAGTAGGGCTATTGGTTGTTTGTAAGTCGAGATGAACCTGAAAGTTGATGAATAAAATACATTAACTTATATTATATCAAAAAGATATAAATTAAAATATATACAGTATATGCAGTTTAAACTAAAGGATATTGGTAAATCAGGTACATTACCATAACTACAGGAATTAAAACTTCATCAAGAGCTCTAACAACGAAATGATCCAATTTTACAAGTAAATCACAAAGGATAGTTAAATTCTTGAGATTCTTTTCATTCAAATCATTTCGAGAAATTTCTTTATTCAAACGAGGAATTTTTGAAGCAAGAATTTCTAATATCATAGACACAACTTCAAGCACTTTATTTTTATTTTTTTTTTTAAAAAAAAAAGATGAATAAAAAAAATTACAAAATCACTGGAGACTGACAAAAAAAAAAATAGTAAATCTTACGATGAGTTAAAGAATGTAAACATTCACCATTCCATCGAATACGATTATTTCCATCATTCCAAGGATTTTCATAAAAATAACGAATCCACCAAGTAGTACACATATTTTTCTTATCATCGATATTATCATGATGTTGTAATAAAATTTCATCACCAATTAATCCCTCACATATGAAATGTAAAATGACGCGTTTTATTAAATTATAAATATCATCATCATTAATCTCAGATTCAGTATTTGTGTTATTTGAAATATGAATGTTTACAGGAAATCTCGAATCAATAGTAGAATTTTTAATAGCAAATTCCAATAACCAATCGATAATTATTCCGAATATTTTGATAAGTTGTAGAAATTGACACTGTTGAATGACTTGGGTAGCGATTGGATGAAAAGGGGTAGAACAAGTTTTGATTTGACCTTTTTAGATATAAGATGAGCATTAAATTAAAATCCATAAAAGAATTTAAAAATATATATATATCATTTATTATATTATAAAAGAGATCGGAGGACCATGAAAAACCAAATTTAGTTTAACCATATTAAATCAAAGAATGACCATATACAGAAAAAACATTTTGGGATTTTCGTGCAGATAAACCAAGCCAAAACAATAAAACCAAATAAAGTAACCTTAAAAACCAAATTAATTTATTGAACAATAAAGCTTCATTATTTTGCTAGAAGAGGTAAGACTAAGAAAAATTACCACTAATGATATCATGCAAGGTTTGGATGCCATCCGAGAAAATTATCCACAAGTTTTTTTGGTTCTCATTTACAGCTGAAGATGTAGAAGAAGATATTGAAGATGATGGAATAAATATTTGATCTAGTTCAGTACACCATCTTGTTACGTATTCAGACCAAGAAGAGAATATCTAAAAGACATAATTAAAGATATTTAAAAATTTTTAACAATTTTAATACTTTTAAACAATGGTCATTCATTACCTCTTTCAAAGTGTCAATAAGCCTACTTTGAACTTTTTGATTAATATCTAGAACCAAATCATTCTTACAAGTACTTTCACGAAGCAATTTCAAGAAATGAAATATTGAGATGAAAGGTTTATTATGTTGCAAAGGTACAGCCGAAAACATGATTCATTCAATGTCGATGAAATCGAGCGATCACACGTTTCATACAAATACAGTTAAAAAAAAAAGGTATATTATTGTATTTTATGATAAAATGAATACAGATTTGGCATTATTAAAACCATGTAACGAACATGAATCTTATGATAACTATCAAATGATGCATGAAAGTGACGAAAGGAATCGTCTGCATTATGTAATTAGATAAAATAAGAAAATTATTATTTCGGATCATCATATATGGATTCACATAGATCTCGCGTAAAAAAAGATGTAAAAATAAGTCAATAATTAGATAAATTGAAACAGGGAACATGAAATATTGTTAAAAGGCTAATAATCATACAATGATTATATTATGATATATAGTATGATATAATATGTATTACCATAATCGCAACAATATAGTGTATGATGTCAAACTCGGTACGTAAAGTTTATCGTGGAACTACTTCTACATGGCGCCAAATGTTTCAAGCATAGATATGTCAACGCCCTGTAACTACCGCTACATCTAGTATTTCCTGTTTCAAATATTCTAATCATGTGAATCGGGCACTTTCGGATCAAAATGTTTAGATAGTTTCAGTAATTTGAGTAGTTTTAAATAATTTCAAATGATTTTAGTTTATCTTAAAAGAAATTTTATTGTAATTCTTTATTATATTCTTAAAACCTTTATACAATGGAAAAAAAAGAAGCAATATTTTAAACAATGATGATGAGGAATAATCAAACAATAAATGTTATTATATATGAATCGCCGAATTTTCTCCAAACTGTTCGAATATTGTCGAACATTGTCGAATACAGTCGTTAAGGCTCATGCAACTCGGATCATTTCTGGTAATAATAAATTAACTTCTTATTTGTTATTATTGCAGTATTCTAGGGATGTTTGTTAAACGCACAAAATGATACTGGTTGGTTATTAATTTAACTTTATTCTTGTGAATAATTTTAATGTACGTATAATAAATAAAATAATTTTTTTTTTTTTTTTTTTTAATTTATCAATTTTTATACTATCAATTTATACACTAGTAGATCTGCAATCAATGTTTATATAAAGTCGGCCATCCCTAACAACAAAACCAAACAAATTTCTTTCGTTTTATTAAAAATTTTTTCGTGTACATTACAAACCTATCATTAGTGTGTATCATAAATATTTTTTATGTAAAACATTACACTATTTTTAATTTTTTTGTGTTTATAAGAAAATATATATATCAACTTTTGTACAATATTTGCCAAACATTCAATTTTTCTTCAAAAAAGAAAAAAAAAAACAATTTTATTATTATTATTTATTTTATATTTCATGATGGTTTCTTTAAAGACGTCTACAGTTTCTTCTAATATTAGTACTATTAGTGAGCGAGAACTAAATTCTAAACTCACAGAAATATTCACTAAAATTGGGCAACTTGGAAATGCACAACAGGTAACTTTTTTAATATTAATCATTATTGAATTTATTATTATCATCTAATTTTATTTAACTAATTAATTACTCTTCTCTTTTTCAATTGTTTTTAGGGTATCCAAGAACTTTATGACTTGTTAATGGAATATCCAGAATGTGACGTCAAAGTTAATGCATTTTTAGCTACCGCTGGTACATTCTTTCAAAAATATATTCGTAAGGCATTAGCTGACCTTACTACGCAAGAAATGCAGAAATGTGGAATGTTGCCTAAAGAACCTTCCGTTCCTGTAAATTCTATATCTACAACGAAAGATTCTTCTGTTCAAAAACGACCAACAACTCCTAAAAATAATAAACCTCCTCATAAATTTTCTACAAACCGTTGTGCTAATAGTCATGCATTAAATATTGGTTCAGCAAAAGATTTTTCCATTAAAAATGATTTTCATGAAATGAAAGTCAATGTTCCTGTTCCTGCGACCCCAAAGACAAGTACGTTTTATTTTATTCTTATTAATTTTATTATATGTTTATATACTTATTTAATTTTTTTTTTTTTTTTGTTAATAGAAGCTTTCATAGATAAAGTATCTCAGGAAACTTTTGACCAAACCCGATTACGTCTTCATGCCATATTTCAATATGAAAAATATAAGGTAATAATCATCAATTAACAAATTAATTCAATTAATTCAAAAAAATTCTTATTAAAATATTATAATTATAACTAAATTTAAAAATTCTTTTTTTTAAAAAAATAGACTGGTCAAAAACGATCAAGTCTACCGAATTTAAGACAAATAGAAAGTGATAGCGAACGATTAGAATATGTTAAAAGTATTATACGATCTCGACCAAAAGCTCGTCGTTCTACTTGGGATATTAACACTCCATTTAGACTTACTGACGTATCTATTCGTGCTAATTAATTTATATCAAATCAATTACCGAAAAACAAAAAAAAAAAAAAAACATTTATATGATAGATATATATTTAGTACACAATTTATCCCAATGATTGACAAATATCTTTTCTTTATCGAACTTTATTTTATCGAATAATTTTTTTTTTTCATGTTTATTCTAATCTTCATTCTCTTTCGGTGGATCCTTGAGAGATAGATAGTATATCATTGTTTTTTGTCATTCACATACACATTCATTCCTTTATATACCATTTCATTCATTCCTTATATACCATTTCATTCATTCCTTTATATACCATTTCATTCATTCCTTTATATACCACCACAAGAAAGATGTTCTTATATCGTAGTATAATTGAATTTTTACATTACTACGATAAATTATACATATTGTAATTGGATAAGTTTAGATGGTCAAATTGTTAAATTAGAGTGAATTAGAGTTTTAGAACGTTTAAATGGCAATGTAAATAAATTTTTTTCACACTCATTGAGAATTTTTTTTTTTTTTTTTTAAAGATAACAAATACAAATGTATCTTTTTACCTTTGAGAATAAAAAATATTTTTTATTTAAAGGCATTATTAATAAGATGGTCTGCTAATCTAAAGTTTAAATTAATTATAATACACTTGTACTAAGTTGGTGTGTAATCTATGATTCACTATCATAATTACCACACTGTGAATTTAGTTTTTATGCGTAACTATTGGATTGTGTATCGATTATAACGATAATGTTAAATTTTATATTTAATATAATAAATTAACTTTAAATAAATAGAGTTTAACTAAATTAAAAAAAGAGAACATTGTAAATGGTTTTTTCAATCATATATTAAGCCGAACTATTTTGCTATACGCTGAAATTTAGAAATTTTTATTTGAATGTATAAACTCTAATAAAGGGTTTCTTTATTTAAATATATAACTTATATTAACAATAACCTTCAAAGTTTTTTTAACATAATTTCAAATTCCAGTATCTTTCATAACAATAAATTATCGTGTAATTTATCTAGTAGGAAGCATTTTTAGAGAGTTATGGACAAATTCCAATCTATAGATTCGGAAGTAAACTTTACGAATCAGTGAATGCATCCCATAACGGTCACGGGAAATGTCCTGTATACTGTAAATCATTGTCGTCAAATGAAATGTCACATATAATTTTTATATATAAATTAGCAAAAAAAATTAATTTAACCTTTAAATGAAGAATATAATCTTTTCCAACTTTCAAATACTTATTCTCTAAGTTTTAGACATTCTTTATTTAAAGTTTAGATAGCAGATAAAAATAAAGTTTAGAAGGATCTTAGAAGAAACTTTATATTTATTCTTTAGTGATACTCTTTATTTGACATAAAATTGACGTACTACTATAGCAGGTATTAAACTCAATTTGTCAAATCATGTGAAATCTTTATGATAAACGAAAATGAGTGTTTAACATTAAATTTTGTTCTCTACCAAAATTGTAATAATGAAAAATAGAACAATGAAATGAACAGTAACAGTAATGCAGTATGATATATTAACGAAATTATAGCAATAGAAAATTTTCTACACATAAGTTTCTTTTGGCAAATAGCTATTCAAAACTTTTAGTTTTTATTTAAAAGCATGATTCACTTATTAGTCTAATGCTAAACATGCTATATTAACATTAATATCTAATACTAATACAATAGTTGCATTGTATAATTCAATCTTGTTATCATTTTTAAATTTGATAGTCTAATTTTGATTTGCTATAAGCTTTAGAGCAATTATAGATCAGATTTATATTCGCTAAGATTAAAGTGCATATATATATTTATATAAACATTATGAAGATACAAACCAAGTAATAATGATAAAATTATAAATTTTGAATTTAAATTAGGATTCTTCAAAACTTATCATCCAATTATTTTGATTTGCTTAAACATTAATAGTTTTTTAAAATTTCTGCAAGATATACAAATTATATTTGAGTTTATTTAAATTATAAAGAACAAATTAATATAAGTATTAAATTCTAAAAGAATAATAGTGATTTAATTTTTTTGTCAAGTAGGTAGATCATATCCTATCACTATTTTTTAAATATTTACTATCACTAATATTAATATATTAATAATTTTTATAAAATATGAATATAAATGAATTAAAATTAAATCTAATAATTACTAACTTTTATAATCTAAATCTGTTAAAAATTTATTGGCATTTTCATACTATTTTTAACAGATTTAAAAATTCAATAGTAATATCTGTATCTTTATCATAAAATAACTATTACTATATTTATCAATATCAGCAAGTTTAATACTATATAGTTCTTAAGTATTATCTTTAAAAAATTTGATTAGATTACTGATTACAAAACTAAACTATCTTGAACTAGTAAATTAAAAATATTGATATGAGTTTATTATTATTACTATAATAAGAAAAATATAATAATAAAATTATTAACATTAATATTAATATTAATATATAATTAAAAGATAATACTCTACTTGCAGATCATTTTAACCAAATTCAAAGCTAAGAGAAAATCTAAGACAACTCAAAAAAATTATTAAGAAACAGTAATGAGAGTATTAAGCAAAAAGAAAGAGGATTAAAAAATACATATATTGTATTAGAAAAACAAAAACAAAAAACAACTAGAAAGACTAATACAAAGTTAGAAACAGAAAAACTTTGATGAAAAAATTTTTTTACTTAGATATTTTAGGGATTTGGAATTATTCTGAATTGCAGATTAGTTATTATTATACAAATATAGTCTAATCTCTTTATAGTTACCTTCTATATAAGCATATCATATAAAAATTCTCTTTATAAGCACATATATTTTAAAACCAACTATTATAAATATATAGAAAAAAAACTTCTATATAAGCATATACTCTCTATAAGCATATTTTCAAAAAAAGTCACTATGATTCTGATAGTGTGATTATAGAGAGGTTAGACTGTACATGAAAAATAGTATAAACAAACAAATATAATTTGAGAACTAACAAGATGTATTATATGCTAACCAATAGAAAGAAGCTATATACAACAGAAACCAGAAATAATATAGGTAACTAGGAAAAAATCTAGAGAATTTAAACAAAAAAACAAAGTTATTTTAAGAAAATAGATCAAAGATAAAAAAAAGCAAAGCTGACAAAACAAAAAAATAACATATAGAATACAGAAAGCTCTAAACATTTCATTAAGAAAATAACTAAGGAGTATGGTAGAGAAATCATTCAAGAAAATAGCGTAGTAGTGTTAGAACTAGCAGATCATCTTAATGAAATAGTTGCAAAGGCAATGAATATCAACAAGAATATTATCATTCAACAAGACAGTGGCATATTATACTAGAAAGAGCTACTTTTACAGAAAGAATAGACAAAATTAAAGAAGTACTAGGAAGAGAGCAAGAATTAGTAATTATGTAGCCAGAAATATTAAACAAAATAATACAAGAAATAGAAATAGGAACTAAAGAAATACTAATTACAGAAGCAAAAAGAGATAAAGAATTAGAACTATGAGCAAATATAAGACAGAATATGCATTATCAAAAAAAAGTAAATAGCAATGAAAGAATAATAGAAAGAACTAAAGCATCAGAAATTATAGAAGATATTTAACTAATAGAAAATAGTATAGAAATATATCCATATAAAAATAAGATAGAAGATAGACTAGAGCAACTAGTAGAGATAGGAAAAATAAAACACAGTAGCATATCTCTAGATTGTAGTTTATAGGTATCTAATTCAGAAGCGTATAAGAATAAAGGAGAGATCAGAGCAAAAGTAATAGTAGTTAAGGTTCTTAAAGATATTGCAGAACAAAGAAAAAGATTAATAAGATAGTCTCTAAGAGGAAACAAGTATATCAAAGCAATTTAAGAAAAGTTTGCAAACAGAAACTAATAGTGAATTATCTATTTCGATTATAAAAAAGGATATGAAGAAGCTAAGTCAAGACTTAAGAAAAAGAAAGATGATTTTGATTAAATAAATTTAATACTTAAGAAAAAAGCTGAAAAAAAAAGCTTAAAGAAAGAACAAGTTATACAAAGTGAAGTAAAAGAAAAAGAAAAAAAAGAGACCTAAGCAAAGAAGGAACTCAAAAAAATATAAAAGAAGAGATCTACTTTATATAACTAAACTAAAAAAGAAAAGTGCTCAACAAGCAGTGCAAGCAAAAAGAAAAAAAAAATAGCATATAATCAAATAGAAGAAGAAAAAGTACTAATCACAAAAGACAAAGAGAAAAAAAAAATGTATAAACAAAAAATTCCTCTAATCAGAAAAGAAGTTCCAAGCAGAACTAATAACATAGCCAAAGAAAAAGACCTGTTTCTATGTATAGAAGAGACTATTACTGTATGGGATATACCCTATTATATATCAAAATCACAAGTCTTCTTTGCAATCAAATACTTTAGATATGTGAAAAATATCAAAATAATAAGAGAAAAATACAAAAAAGTAAGAGCAGAAGTGTCTTTTGAAAAAAGAAATAGCTTTGTATAAGAAATCAAAGCTTAAATTATCTCTCTCATAAACAAGCTCTTAGTATGTATAACCTCAGAATCAAACAAAAAAGAGATACTTGAAAACAGAAAACAGTCATAGTGAGGTTATACAATATATTACAAAATGTAAATAAGGTATTACTATTTAGACAACTAAAATATACTAAGGCAAGTGCAGTACATGTTTTCAAAAACTCAAACAGAAACAACAAAGCTATATACTAGTATTATTTAGAAATCAACAAGAAATAATTCAAGTACAAAAGTATTCTGTTAAATATTATGATACTAGGCTTTTCTGAGAGATATTCAAAGCAAAATCAATAGAAGAAAACCAAAATAAGAAAAGATATAAACAAGAACTTTACAACTATGAATTAAGTATAAGAAGCTTTAAAAGATATGAATTATTCTCTGAAAAGCTAATCTCATCTTATAAAAGTGAAAAGAAAACTCTAGAGAAA